GTTGGGTAGAGACGACGGGGAGGGGGGGGGGGGGGGGGGGTTGTGCGTTCGAGAAACATGACCCCTCACCGAAAGAAGCTGCACAAACTGCATGTACAAACCGTCTATAGACGAGACCTTATACAGCTGTAGTACAAATATTACAAACTGTTCATGTATCAAACTTGGTTGTCCCAAACTTATAGATTAGTATGTTATAGTTTAGAATTTAAACAGTTGATGTGTGGTTACATTATTTTGAGATGGTGGTTCAGAAGCTTTACGTTTATACTGTACAACAGCATAAATAGATGACTGAGCACCATTGATTCTAACACATCAAGCAAAACCAATCTTCTGTAACATTTTAACTGACGACTTGAGATTGCCTTCCAGTTACATTCTTCTGAAATTTTACAATTCTGATCAGAACCAATTTTGGACCTCCTCAAAAACCAAAGCTATTAAACTAAACATGCCCCAAAAGGTTAACAATTTCCCCTACATGTGGATTTGTGGGAAACGTACGTAATTAATATTGAAGAAAGTCCAGCCCACGTATGAGAAAACCGAAGCCAAGTACCACGCCCAAGCCTCAGGGTTCGTTAAAGCACTAATTAGCCTTCCACGAAAATGCCTCTTATCTCCAACTTCGAGAGATCCTTGATTTGAAATGTGTGCTTCCTCATTGTTGGTAGTTTTATCGTCAGTTTCTCTTGCTTCATCGTCAGTCTCTTCAATGCAGCCGTCATCATGAACCTGCTTCCCCGGGACCATGCTCTCCAATTCATGTTTCTCATCACCAGGAGACTCATCGGGCGCCCTAGCGTAGTCCTCGGTTGATGGTGGGTCAGCCAGCAGCAGACCGTCAGCTATCCCGATCACCGTATTCCACCGCTGAGAATTCTCAGCGCATTACGCCATCCGTAGTGAGTTATTAAGGCTGTCAACAAAGGGCTAAAGGCAAGCATACCTGCATATCAGACAGATTAACAGAGCAATTTGCAATTACAATAACATTAAAATAGTCTACAGTAGACTAGAATATAGTACACTATATAGAATAAATCATACAGTTCCTTTCTGTATAAGGTCCACGGCAGTGCATTATGGAGTCAATCATTAACCTGCACGTCTCTACCGACTTTTAATAACTCTAACCGCTAGAAATTGGATCAAAACTGCGTTTAGTTCTATAAAAGACAAGAAAAAACTGTGTGTGTCTACATAGTTGTGGGAAACTATCATCGCATTTACCGGTTGTGGATCCCATTAGAGCGAGGGCGCTTGCCCGCGAGAAGTTCGCCTTGGCAAACCAGTCCAGCAGCAGGGCCAAGGAGGAATTCGTAGCTAGGTTGGCGCCCACGCCCGTCAAGATCGAAAACGTGAAGAACACGTATCCCAGTGTTGGCACGGGAACGAGTGACGTCGTCAACAGTCCTGCGCAGAAGGCAATCACTCCCAAGATGGCGACGGTCCGACTGCTCAGCTTGTTTGTAAGGAGATAGCAGAGAGGACTAGCAAGGCAAGCCAGTGCAATTGACAGAGACCCTAGCCAACCTGAAAGCGAAACAGGCATTATATAAAATAATCCTAAAGCATACTTGTTGTACCTTCACAATAATTCTTTTAGTAGACACTTTTTAATATTTGTACCACTTCAAAGAGGAGACACTGTTTTTAAATACTATGTAGATGCTATTCGACCCCTGGTTAGTCTTAAATCAGAAATCTAAAGAAGTCTTTATTTATTTAATTAGGCTAAATTTGTTGTTCTATTTCTGGTTACGTGTACTCTTGTCAGTGTTCTTATACGCCTATTTGTACATTTACGTTATATGTTTTTTTGGTTTTAATGTGAAGTTTTTAAGTGTTTTATACATTATATTTGTGTGCAGAACGAGGAGACAAGTTTCATGTTTTTACATGATGAGAATAAATAAATAAATAAATAAATAAATAAATAAATAAATAAATAAAAATAAATAAATAAAGTCTGGTCCCCTGCGACTAACCAATGTTAACATAATGCAAAAAAAAAATAAAAAAAATCCCTGAATATAAACGTCACCACCCTTGCAAACCTTGATTCATCGCTTTACGCATGCAGACTGTTTTTTTGGCAGCGCTTTAGTTTCCAAACGCTGCTTGGCAACGACTTCGAACGGCCCGGCTGTAGCCAGCATCAGGCATGCCCAAATCAAGTTCTCATCTCGCTGGATCGTATTTCCGTACTAACCTGTCAACGCCGAACTGGAATGGAAATCCTCCTGCAGGCTCACAAACAGTATGCTGAAGTTGAACAGGAGTCCACGAGTTAAGACAAACAGACCGAAAGTCGCGAATGTGACGACCCAACGCCACCATCCGCAACGGGACCCTGATGGGCACACCATGTCAGCTGTACCAGTCTCAGAATACGCATCCGTTACTGTCGCAGCATTTCACTCCGGCCTTCAGTCCTTCCTGTTCAAAAAATCATAAAATTGGTCACTTCCTGAAACCGATGAATTCTTGAGAAAACTTAATGTTGTTTCCAGACCAAAAGATTCCGCCATATCTGACGGATAACTTAGGAAATGTAGATGTCAATGTCGCATGACCAAACAGACACGGAACAGCGTTGAAACTCAAGTACACGATCGGACGAGAACAGGGCGATTTACTGTGTCGTGCTCTATTTTTGAATGTGACGTCTACACCAACAAATGATCTATAAAAGACGTCATTGGATCGTTCTCATAAGAGCAATGAAAAGACTTCAGGCAGTCAATCCGGTGTTTGCTCGTCACGGTTCCACACCATAAAACCAAGCCACTACATGAATTTCTTACCGTTTTGCCAAAAAGGAAATTCACGCTGTTCAAAGTCTTCTTAACATGAGTTTCTAATGTCGCACATCGATGTTGCACAATACAATTCACAACAAATGTCTTTGCAGTGTTATTATGATGCGAAAAGACAGTGTGTGCCCTCTCGGTGTCCGGGTTCTATCGATGGTTTCTGCAAAAAGCCTTTGAAAATAAACAATGGTAGCGTTTGAGCAAAGGTCAAGATAATAATCAGCGCGATAAAGTGTATATTTGTATTAGTCCCGCCAAATAACAATAAAAATGGACTGGTGGCTTACCTGGCCGCCGATAAAAAAAATGACCGAGCCTATCGGAGTCGGGACGTCGTTGTTTGAACTCTGATCGGTGTTAAAAGTCTACCCACGTGGCGGGCTATTGGCCAACAGGAATGGGTAAACTGTCTCAGGTATTTTAATATGAAATAATTAAAGTGAGGAAGGAATATTTCTCAAAAGACGTGAAGCCTATCTTGGGTTTGTGTTGTGGAGAACAAGGCATTAGATATGCATGTAATGGACCAAACAGAAGATGGGATATGAATGTCGCTTGGGATAAAAAAGATTCGCGGGCCAGCCAGGCCTTCTTATCCCCCCCAACCCATTTCGTTTCCGAAGCCACCTGGGTACATACACATATACTGTAGTGGAGACCAGCTAACTAAAATAATTTCAAGAATTTTATATAATAAACAAAGTTCATTCAGTGTTAATTCTGTTTTGCAAGGAACGATCTAAGGGGGAAACTTTAAGTCTCCTGTGGTTTTTTATTCTATTTCCGAGTCCAACTACTGCATGATCCACAACAGATCCAGCCAACAACAATAAATCCACTCAAAAGATACCAATTCTCATTAGGAGGTCCACGTTTAATAATCAAGGCAGTCAAGAAATCCAAATCGGAAATCATAAAAAAAGATCGCTAAAATGATAACAGTAATGTGGTGCTTATATATAGCGCTTTATACCAAAGGTCTCAAAGCGCTTCAACAATATTACCTCTGTTCGTCAGGCCACGAGACCAGTTTTTGCAGCAGCTGGAGCTGAGCGTATTCTGGTCTCTACCTTCACCGGTGCCCATATAATACTCCTGGGTGGAGAGAGGCAATTGTAGTAAAGTGTCTTGCCCAGAACACAAGCATCATGTTCCCCGTAAGGGTTCGAATCTGCGTACCACGGCACGTGAGTCGAACCATGGAGCAAGGAAATCCGTTTTCCTTGCTCCATGGTCGAACACCGTAAACATTGGACCGCAGCGCTCCAGCCTGAAAATACACCCTGAATATCAGCCATATGGTTGCGAAGGGCGATTTCTAAAGGTTACGATAACACTTTATTTTGAATGAAACTACATGTTCACAGACATGGTCACGTTGGCGGGTGAAATCTTTGAAAATTAATTTCTCCAGTTTGGAAGACCGTATCTTCATACAACTTTCAGGATTTATTTCCCCCATAATGATCCAAGTATGTGCTAAAAGTCGTTGTGATATGTTCATTACTTTTCGTTGAAATCGGAAAAATAGGTCTCGCTACGTGCAATTTTGAAAATTGTAACACTGGCGTGCGCAATATCTATCAATCTTTTCAAGCCTCACGAATATTAATTAGGTTCCTATCCATTACGGTGTGCAGTAAACAATGGGATAAAAGCCTCCTTCACGAGTTGTTAATTAACAAATATCACCCTTTTTGCCGGCTTCCATTGGTCGATGCCGAGACCCACGCCATGTCACGCCGAGTGACGCTAATGAATATGCTAATATGCCCGTCATCAATGTGTGCTGGGCCGAAATCGGTCAGCCGTAGCGCCTACGGCGCTTTGCTGAACAATGCACACGGGTTGGGTCGGCAAACAATTTTTTTGTTTTTCTTCCCGATGGAGATTGTTGTAACACTAGCCTCCGCAACAACAGATTAAGCTGAAATTCGGAATATACTTAGACGATATAAGTGTTCAACTCACTCCCAGTTCAACAACTGGGATAAATTCCTAGGAATTGGGATAAATACATACATTTGGGGAAGTTTTCGAACGATTTCTTCCAGGCTTGAAGGTCAGCTTTGATAGTAACCAGTACTGAGGTTTCGGCATGGATGACCGCGATTTTTTTTACTGCCATGAAGTTTAGAATTTCTTCTTCAGTTGGAATGTAACATTTCAATCATACCGAGCATATTTTTCTGAGAAACACAACGTTCAAAATGCCATGTTTTGGGGGGTTCGTGAATTTCACTGCTCAGTTATAGCGTCTGAAGAATGAATTGTAATTTCGATAAATTGCACATTGAGAAAAGCAGCGGTATAATGTTGATGCATGGGCCGTTTGTGTTTAAAATATCGGGCACTTTGATGGGACGCATGGCATGTTCGCTTAAAAATGACGGATTCAAACAACTTATTTCAGTGTCACGCCGATGTTCTATTCATATTATCGTAAACCATTATTATGCTATCCTTTTTTTCACCGTGGGAACCCCAGTGATGGCAAAAGCATTGAGCTAGCTATCGTTCTGATAATCCGTCACGGGGAAGTTGCTTTGTACATTAGGGTGCACAATGGTTTCTCCATTGAAGGGGGCCTCGGGAGTGTACAGTGATCACGTGCCAGGGTTCGTCATTATTTTTGAAACGAAATTCGGGACACAATCTCCAAATTCGTATAGAGGGCGGGCGTGTTTACACAACATGCACGGCCTGATTAATTCTCCTTCTTACTGGAATAAATATATAGGCCGCTGAAGCGCAAACGAAGAGGGCGGCAATGACAAGAAGACTAAGAACGTAGTCACCTGTGACGTCATAGATTGCACCTAGCAAAAAGAAAAGAGAAGAAAATAAGCACTTATGCTAGACAACGCAACATAGTAAGCTGCTCACTGAATGCACACAATTCTTTCTAATAATTCAGGCTGTGTGTTCACACTGCATGGAGGAGACTGTTCTTGTATCTGTGTACAATGGGCCAGATTTAGCACATCCACCGGCGTTACAGGGTAATCCTATATGACAGCACTGCCTGGTGAGTAGGTCAATGAGTGAAAAAAGTATTGCATGTATTACCGAATGGTACTTTTTGTGTCTAATAAACTCTTTCTCTAGTTGAAATAACATGTACACCCATGTGTTGGACGTATTTACCCGCTAACGGTGCACTGATCAGAACTCCGATTCCGGAGGGAACTAACGTTATAACCATAACACCGTTAGTGCCATACTGCCCGTGGAAAAGTTCAGCTGCGGCTGTAAATTGTGCTGCATAGACGCCTGACCGTAGAACCCCAGAAACTGGAAGCCATAACAAACAAACATAAGACAAACAAACCGAACAATGTGAATCAAACACTCCACGGACGTTATAACGTTGTGTGACACAGTGTTTAGGCTTTTCAAGAACGAATAATGGAAATGTTTGACCGTTTTGAGAATTTTCGTTGGAATACAATATCAGCCAACATGGAGCGGCCTTTAATTGTCTTGATGTGCATTCTATCGTTTTGCTTCATCAGCGAGCGAGTGGCAATTCTTGTTTGAAACTCTGTCTACTGATTCCCTCATTAATATTGCGTATTACACTTCTAGATCACACAGTGAACAGTGCAAGTTTAGGCTGTGAACGTATTCGTACCGGGCACCACTTAGGACGGGACGCTGTATCAATCGCGGCACGTATCACGTTTCTCGATCGGAATACAGCTCACTAACCTTCCGGAATTGTCCTGTCTTTTTTGGTTGTTTACAGATCATTTGTCATCTGTGCATTAGCAATAATTAAGAGATAAGTTGTTGTCTTGCACTAAAAATCTGAGAACATGCCTTGACTTACCCACTGCAAGAAGTACCATTACACCAAACGTCTTGGCAATGGTCAGAAACCCCAGAACGACGGTTCCCAGGAGACAGGAGGCCATCAACAGATAAAGATACAAGAAAGGCAGACGATCTCCAATCACGGCTATGAGGAACTTCCCGCCAAGTTCCGCCAAAGCAAAGTACACGATGACGGAGGCAATGCGGTTGCTGTCAAGATCAAGTCCGTCCAGATAATTAGCCTGCAAGAACCAAAGCATTGTTTTTTAATTCAAACTTTGAGCCTGTAAGATCGAGAACGTCAGCTAACCATAGATGGGTAGAGACGATGGGGGGGGGGGGGGGGGCTGTTGTGCGTTCGAGAAAACTGACCTCTCACCAAAAGAAAGGAAAAATAAACCAAGTTTATGTTTGTGGACAAACACAGGGCTGTTTCGGCATGTTTTTGTTGCATTTTTATGTCATGTAATAGACTGATAGAAAAACGCAGTTGAAAAATGCAGAGTGATCAGAGCCAATGGTTAATAAAAAAAATCGTTGGAAGCAAGTGCGCATATTTTACCACTTTCAAATTACAAGGCACTTCCGGTTAAAACCGGAAGGAAGGGTCACGTGATTTAGAACGTTATATCAAAAAACAAAATCAGATCTCTCACAGTTGATTTTATATTGATTTTAAAAGAGTAAATCTAGAAATCTTTGGTTGCTTGTAATCTGATACTTAATTACCTCATTGTAACGTCATTACCAAAAAGCTCGAGAACTATGCTAACTGTGCTATTTGAGGCAAAAAACAGGAGTAAATTTCGTGATTTTCGGTGACGTCATCAATTTTTCTGCCCTTCGCCATACACATCAACTGATTATTTATTTTAAACATTTTTCAACCTGCCGCTAATAATATCTTATGATGTCACCAGAATTTTTTTTTGAAGGACAACCTAGCAAGAGACTAACATCGTTGAAAGCAAGTTCACTTGTTTTTCTACTCTCAAATTACAAGGCACTTCCCCCTTGGACCGGAAGGAAGGGTCACGTGATTTGACACACACGAAAAAAAAAATGAAGATCCTGGATATTTCATCAATTCCCGCAAAAGTCAAGTTCAGGTCTCCCACGGTTGATTTTATACTTTAGCGTGACATCACGTGACCCATGATGATGTCATCATGACGTCACTCCATTTGTCATTTAAAACACATCCCGGTCTAGGTACATACCAAGTTGCACTCCAATCGGACATGTAGTTCCGGAGATATAGACGTTCTAAATATGCACCTTTATTGTGACGTCAAGTGACACGTGATGATGTCATGATGACGTCAATATTTGGCACACATCTGCAGCTGTTTGTCTAAGTGTGCCAAGTATAAAGGCAATCGGATTGATTTTAGAGGCCAAAGTGCCAGGAACAAAAAAAAACGTGTACAAATGCTATTTAAAAATGACTTTTCCGACCTATTCCGAATGACACCTGCTTTTGTAATTTAAGAAAGTTTTTGAAGGTGGAAAATGCGATTTTCTTGCGCAAGTTACGTTTCGGCTGGGTCAAAACTACCCCAACCCCTATCCCGCCGCCAGGCGCATTGACGTGTATAAAGGGATGTTGCGCAATATCGCATTTCTTGACCAGTTAACCCCAGATTTCGGCTCAACAAAAAAAGCCTGCAATCTGTCTACGACATGGCTGTTCACAACAAAAACGTACAAGTATAGATTGTGTTCAGCCATCGGGAAATGTGTCCCATACTCCACAATCGCAATAAAAGAGCAAAAACAATGGCTGGTTCGGCTGTTTGCCGAAACAGCCAAATCAGAGTGGTCTGTACAAACTGCACAAACTGCATGTACAAACCGTCTATAGCGGAGACTTAAAAACGTCCATAAACAGTACAAATATTACAAAGAGTGTGTCAAACATAGGTAATCCAAAACTAATAGATTTTGCATTTGAGATGGTGGTTTAGAAGCTTTACGTTGATTCGTAATTGCACAACAGAAGTAATACATGACTGAGCACCATTGATTCTCACACATACGGCAAAAAACATCTTTTATACAATAGGAATTGCCGACTAAATTAACCTTCCAGTTACATTCTTCTTGAATTTTACAGAAACAATATTGGACCTCAATAACCAAAGCCATGAAACTAAAGGCGCTAAGAAAAGGGCAACATTTTCCCCAACATATAGATTTGTGGGAAACATACGTAATTAGTATTGAAGAAAGTCCAGCCCAAAAATGAGAAAACCGCAGCAAAGTGCCATGCCCAAGCCTCAGGGTTCGTTAAAGCACTAATTAGCCTTCCACGAAAATGCCTCTCATCTCCAACTTTGAGAGATCCTTGATTTGAAATGTTTGCTTCCTCGTTGTCGGTGGTTTTGTCGTCAGTGTCTCGTGCATCATCGTCAGTCCCTTCAATGCAGCCGTCATCATGAACCTGCTTCCCCGGGACCATGCTCTCCAATTCATGTTTCTCATCACCAGGAGACTCATCGGGCGCCCTAGCGTAGTCCTCGGTTGATGGTGGGTCAGCCAGCAGCAGACCGTCAACTATCCCGATCACGAGTATTCCACCGCTGAGAATTCTCAGCGCATTACGCCATCCGTAGTGAGTTATGAAGGCTGTCAACAAAGGGCTAAAGGCAAGCATACCTGCATAAATTATCGAACAGAGTAAGAGAGAACATCAATTGCCATGAATTATATTAAACTATCATCATACAGTCGCTTTCTGTAAGGTACGGTGCAAGATAATTTTGAACGAATTAAACATTTTACTTTACCGAATGTGGATCCCATTTGAGCGAGGGCGCTTGCCCGCGAGAAGTTCGCCTTGGCAAACCAGTCAAGCAGGAGGGCCAAGGAGGCAGTCGTGGCCAGGTTGGCGCCCACGCCCGTCAAGATCGAAAACGTGAAGAACGCATATCCCAGCGATGGCACGGGAACGAATGACGTCGTCAACAGTCCTGCGCAGAAGGCAATCACCCCCAAGATGGCGACGGTTCGACTGCTCAGCTTGTGTGTAAGGAGAGAGCATAAAGGACTAGCAATGCAAGCCAGTGCAAGTGACAAAGACCCTAGCCAACCTGAAAGCGAAACAGGCATAACAATGATAAAATAACCCCGAAGTATACTTTTAATCTTTATAGCAATCATTCTGTTAGTAGGCCTAGACACTTTTAAATAATTTTACCACTTCAAGAGGAGAGACTGTTTTTAAATACAATGTAGATGCTACTCGTCCCCTGGTTTAATAGTCTGGAATCGGGAATCTAAACAAATCTAGGCCCCTGCGACTGCCCAATGTTAACATAATGCAAATTAACATAAAGCAAAAACTCTTTCATGAAGTTCCCTGCCGGTAACGTCATCACTCTGTCTTGCAGACCTTCATTCACCGCTTTAAGCATGCGGTCTTTTTATGACAGACCTAAGCTTCCAAACGGCTTGCCAACGACCACGAACGGTCCGGCTGTAGCCGGCATCAGGCATACCGAAATCAAGTTATCATCTCGCTGGATCGTATTTCCGTACGAACCTGTCAACGCCGAGCTGGAATGGAAATCCTCCTGCAGGCTCACAAACAGAATGCTGAAGTTGAACAGGGGTCCGAGAGTTAAGAAAAACTGACCGAAAGTCGCGAATGTGACGACCCAACGCCACCATCCGCAACGGGACCCTGATGGGCACACCATGTCGTCGGTACCAGCCTCAGAATACGCATCCGTTACTGTCGCAGCATTTCATTCCGGCCTTCAGTCCTTCCTGTTCAAAAAATCATAAAATTGGTCACTTCCTGAAACCGATGAATTCTTGAGAAAACTTAGTGTTGTTCCCAGACCAAAAGAGTCTGCCATATCTGACGGATACTTAGGAAATGTAGATGTCATGTCGCATGACCAAACAGACACGGAACAGCGTTGAAACTCAAGTATATTAATTCACGATCATCGGGACGAGGGCCGGGCATGGCAAATTTCCTGTCGTGCTCTATTTTTTTAATGTGACGACTACACCAACCAGTGATCTATTAAAAGACGCCATTGGATCGTTCTCAAAAGATCAATAAAAGGACTTCAGGCAGTCAATCCGATGTTGGCTCTTTCCACACCATGAAACCAAGTCACTACATGACTTTCTTACCGTTTTGCCAAAAAGGAAATCCGCGCTTTTCAAAGTCTTCTTAACATGAGTTTGTAATGTCGCACATCGATGGTGCACAAAACAATTCACAACAAATGTCTTTGCAATTTCAACATGATGCGAAAAGACAGTGAGTGCACTCCCGGTGTCCGGGTTCTATCGATGGTTTCTGCAAAAAGCCTTTAAAAACAAACAATGGTAGCGTTTGAGCAAAGGTCAAGATAATGATCAGTGCGATAAAGTCTGACAAAGAAAAAGGAAATTCAAAGGGTACAATTGCACAATCGCTGGCATAATCGACAAAATCAAGTTCAATCTCTGACTCTGGCTTTCCAACTGGAGTTCGTACGACACAGACTTTTATATTTGTATTAGTCCCACCATATAACAATAAAAATGGATTGGTGGCTTACCTGGCCGCCGATCAATAATGACCGAGCCTATCGGAGTCGGGACATCGTTGTTTGAATTCCGATCGGTGTTAAAAGTCTACCCACGTGGCGGGCTATTGGCCAACAGGAATGGGTAAACTGTCTCAGGTATTTTAATATGAAATAATTAAAGTGAGGAAGGAATATTTCTCAAAAGACGTGAAGCCTATGTTGGGTTTGTGTTTTGGAGAACAAGGCATTAGATATGCATGTAATGGACCAAACAGAAGATGGGATATGAATGTCGCTTGGGATAAAAAGATTCGCGGGCCAGCCAGGCCTTCTTATCCCCCCCAACCCATTTCGTTTCCGAAGCCACCTGGGTACATACACATATACTGTAGTGGAGACCAGGTAACTAAAATAATTTCAAGAATTTTATATAATAAACAAAGTTCATTCAGTGTTAATTCTGTTTTGCAAGGAACGATCTAAGGGGGAAACTTTAAGTCTCCTGTGGTTTTTAATTCTATTTCCGAGTCCAACTACTGCATGATCCACAACAGATCCAGCCAACAACAATAAATCCACTCAAAAGATACCAATTCTCATTAGGAGGTCCACGTTTAATAATCAAGGCAGTCAAGAAATCCAAATCGGAAATCATAAAAAAAGATCGCTAAAATGATAACAGTAATGTGGTGCTTATATATAGCGCTTTATACCAAAGGTCTCAAAGCGCTTCAACAATATTACCTCTGTTCGTCAGGCCACGAGACCAGTTTTTGCAGCAGCTGGAGCTGAGCGTATTCTGGTCTCTACCTTCACCGGTGCCCATATAATACTCCTGGGTGGAGAGAGGCAATTGTAGTAAAGTGTCTTGCCCAGAACACAAGCATCATGTTCCCCGTAAGGGTTCGAATCTGCGTACCACGGCACGTGAGTCGAACACCGTAAACATTGGACCGCAGCGCTCCAGCCTGAAAATACACCCTGAATATCAGCCATATGGTTGCGAAGGGCGATTTCTAAAGGTTACGATAACACTTTATTTTGAATGAAACTACATGTTCACAGACATGGTCACGTTGGCGGGTGAAATCTTTGAAAATTAATTTCTCCAGTTTGGAAGACCGTATCTTCATACAACTTTCAGGATTTATTTCCCCCATAATGATCCAAGTATGTGCTAAAAGTCGTTGTGATATGTTCATTACTTTTCGTTGAAATCGGAAAAATAGGTCTCGCTACGTGCAATTTTGAAAATTGTAACACTGGCGTGCGCAATATCTATCTTTTCAAGCCTCACGAATATTAATTAGGTTCCTATCCATTACGGTGTGCAGTAAACAATGGGATAAAAGCCTCCTTCACGAGTTGTTAATTAACAAATATCACCCTTTTTGCCAGCTTCCATTGGTCGATGCCGAGACCCACGCCATGTCACGCCAAGTGACGCTAATGAATATGCTAATATGCCCGTCATCAATGTGTGCTGGGCCGAAATCGGTCAGCCGTAGCGCCTACGGCGCTTTGCTGAACAATGCACACGGGTTGGGTCGGCAAACAATTTTTTGTTTTTCTTCCCGATGGAGATTGTTGTAACACTAGCCTCCGCAACAACAGATTAAGCTGAAATTCGGAATATACTTAGACGATATAAGTGTTTAACTCACTCCCAGTTCAACAACTGGGATAAATTCCTAGGAATTGGGATAAATACATACATTTGGGGAAGTTTTCGAACGATTTCTTCCAGGCTTGAAGGTCAGCTTTGATAGTAACCAGTACTGAGGTTTCGGCATGGATGACGGCGATTTTTTTTACTGCCATGAAGTTTAGAATTTCTTCTTCAGTTGGAATGTAACATTTCAATCATACCGAGCATATTTTTTTCTGAGAAACACAACGTTCAAAATGCCATGTTTTGGGGGGTTCGTGAATTTCACTGCTCAGTTATAGCGTCTGAAGAATGAATTGTAATTTCGATAAATTGCACATTGAGAAAAGCAGCGGTATAATGTTGATGCATGGGCCGTTTGTGTTTAAAATATCGGGCACTTTGATGGGACGCATGGCATGTTCGCTTAAAAATGACGGATTCAAACAACTTATTTCAGTGTCACGCCGATGTTCTATTCATATTATCGTAAACCATTATTATGCTATCCTTTTTTTCACCGTGGGAACCCCAGTGATGGCAAAAGCATTGAGCTAGCTATCGTTCTGATAATCCGTCACGGGGAAGTTGCTTTGTACATTAGGGTGCACAATGGTTTCTCCATTGAAGGGGGCCTCGGGAGTGTACAGTGATCACGTGCCAGGGTTCGTCATTATTTTTGAAACGAAATTCGGGACACAATCTCCAAATTCGTATAGAGGGCGGGCGTGTTTACACAACATGCACGGCCTGATTAATTCTCCTTCTTACTGGAATAAATATATAGGCCGCTGAAGCGCAAACGAAGAGGGCGGCAATGACAAGAAGACTAAGAACGTAGTCACCTGTGACGTCATAGATTGCACCTAGCAAAAAGAAAAGAGAAGAAAATAAGCACTTATGCTAGACAACGCAACATAGTAAGCTGCTCACTGAATGCACACAATTCTTTCTAATAATTCAGGCTGTGTGTTCACAATGCATGGAGGAGACTGTTCTTGTATCTGTGTACAATGGGCCAGATTTAGCACATTCACCGGCGTTACGGGCTAATCCTATACGACAGCACTGCCTGGTGAGTAGGTCAATGAGTGAAAAAAGTATTGCATGTACATGTATTACCGAATGGTACTTTTTGTGTCTAATAAACTCTTTCTCTAGTTGAAATAACATGTACACCCATGTGTTGGACGTATTTACCCGCTAACGGTGCACTGATCAGAACTCCGATTCCGGAGGGAACTAACGTTATAATCATAACACCGTTAGTGCCATACTGCCCGTGGAAAAGTTCAGCTGCGGCTGTAAATTGTGCTGCATAGACGCCTGACCGTAGAACCCCAGAAACTGGAAGCCATAACAAACAAACATAAGACAAACAAACCGAACAATGTGAATCAAACACTCCACGGACGTTATAACGTTGTGTGACACAGTGTTTAGGCTTTTCAAGAACGAATAATGGAAATGTTTGACCGTTTTGAGAATTTTCGTTGGAATACAATATCAGCCAACATGGAGCGGCCTTTAATTGTCTTGATGTGCATTCTATCGTTTTGCTTCATCAGCGAGCGAGTGGCAATTCTTGTTTGAAACTCTGTCTACTGATTCCCTCATTAATATTGCGTATTACACTTCTAGATCACACAGTGAACAGTGCAAGTTTAGGCTGTGAACGTCTTCGTACCGGGCACCACTTAGGACGGGACGCTGTATCAATCGCGGCACGTATCACGTTTCTCGATCGGAATACAGCTCACTAACCTTCCGGAATTGTCCTGTCTTTTTTGGTGGTTTACAGATCATTTGTCATCTGTGCATTAGCAATAATTAAGAGATAAGTTGTTGTCTTGCACTAAAAATCTGAGAACATGCCTTGACTTACCCACTGCAAGAAGTACCATCACACCAAACGTCTTGGCAATGGTCAGAAACCCCAGAACGACGGTTCCCAGGAGACAGGAGGCCATCAACAGATAAAGATACAAGAAAGGCAGACGATCTCCAATCACGGCTATGAGGAACTTCCCGCCAAGTTCCGCCAAAGCAAAGTACACGATGACGGAGGCAATGCAGTTGCTGTCAAGATCAAGTCCGTCCAGATAATTAGCCTGCAAGAACCAAAGCATTGGTTTTTTAATTCAAACTTTGAGCCTGTAAGATCGAGAACGTCAGCTAACCATAGATGGGTAGAGACGATGGGGGGGGGGGGGGGGGGGCTGTTGTGCGTTCGAGAAAACTGACCTCTCACCAAAAGAAAGGAAAAATAAACCAAGTTTATGTTTGTGGACAAACACAGGGCTGTTTCGGCACGTTTTTGTTGCATTTTTATGTCATGTGATAGAAAAACGCAGTTGAAAAATGCAGAGTGATCAGAGCCAATGGTTAATAAAAAAAATCGTTGGAAGCAAGTGCGCATATTTTACCACTTTCAAATTACAAGGCACTTCCGGTTAAAACCGGAAGGAAGGGTCACGTGATTTAGAACGTTATATCAAAAAACAAAATCAGATCTCTCACAGTTGATTTTATATTGATTTTAAAAGAGTAAATCTAGAAATCTTTGGTTGCTTGTAATCTGATACTTAATTACCTCATTGTAACGTCATTACCAAAAAGCTCGAGAGCTATGCTAACTGTGCTATTTGAGGCAAAAAAACAGGAGTAAATTTCGTGATTTTCGGTGACGTCATCAATTTTTCTGCCCTTCGCCATACACATCAACTGATTATTTATTTTAAACATTTTTCAACCTGCCGCTAATAATATCTTATGATGTCACCAGAATTTTTTTTTGTGAAGGACAACCTAGCAAGAGACTAACATCGTTAAAAGCAAGTTCACTTGTTTTTCTACTTTCAAATTACAAGGCACTTCCCCTTGGACCGGAAGGAAGGGTCACGTGATTTGACACACACGAAAAAAAAATGAAGATCCTGGATATTTCATCAATTCCCGCAAAAGTCAAGTTCAGGTCTCCCACGGTTGATTTTATACTTTAGCGTGACATCACGTGACCCATGATGATGTCATCATGACGTCACTCCATTTGTCATTTATAACACATCCCGGTCTAGGTACATACCAAGTTGCACTCCAATCGGACATGTAGTTACGGAGATATAGACGTTCTAAATATGCACCTTTATTGTGACGTCAAGTGACACGTGATGATGTCATGATGACGTCAATATTTGGCACACACCTGCAGCTGTTTGTCTAAGTGTGCCAAGTATAAAGGCAATCGGATTGATTTTAGTGGCCAAAGTGCCAGGAACAAAAAAAAAAACGTGTACAAATGCTATTTAAAAATGACTTTTCCGACCTATTCCGAATGACACCTGCTTTTGTAATTTAAGAAAGTTTTTGAAGGTGGAAAATGCGATTTTCTTGCGCAAGTTACGTTTCGGCTGGGTCAAAACTACCCCAACCCCTATCCCGCCGCCAGGCGCATTGACGTGTATAAAGGGATGTTGCGCAATATCGCATTTCTTGACCAGTTAACCCCAGATTTCGGCTCAACAAAAAAAAGCCTGCAATCTGTCTACGACATGGCTGTTCACAACAAAAACGTACAAGTATAGATTGTGTTCAGCCATCGGGAAATGTGTCCCATACTCCACAATCGCAATAAAAGAGCAAAAACAATGGCTGGTTCGGCTGTTTGCTGAAACAGCCAAATCAGAGTGGTCTGTACAAACTGCACAAACTGCATGTACAAACCGTCTATAGCGGAGACTTAAAAACGTCCATAAACAGTACAAATATTACAAAGAGTGTGTCAAACATGGGTTATCCAAAACTAATAGATTTTGCATTTGAGATGGTGGTTTAGAAGCTTTACGTTGATTCGTAATTGCACAACAGAAGTAATACATGACTGAGCACCATTGATTCTCACACATACGGCAAAAACCATCTTTTATACAATAGGAATTGCCGACTAAATTAACCTTCCAGTTACATTCTTCTTGAATTTTACAGAAACAATATTGGACCTCAATAACCAAAGCCATGAAACTAAAGGCGCTAAGAAAAGGGCAACATTTTCCCCAACATATGGATTTGTGGGAAACATACGTAATTAGTATTGAAGAAAGTCCAGCCCAAAAATGAGAAAACCGCAGCAAAGTGCCATGCCCAAGCCTCAGGGTTCGTTAAAGCACTAATCAGTCTTCCACGAAAATGCCTCTCATCTCCAACTTTGAGAGATCCTTGATTTGAAATGTTTGCTTCCTCGTTGTCGGTGGTTTTTTTCAGTTTCTCGTGCATCATCGTCAGTCCCTTCAATGCAGCCGTCATCATGAACCTGCTTCCCCGGGACCATGCTCTCCAATTCATGTTTCTCATCACCAGGAGACGCATCGGGCGCCCTAGCGTAGTCCTCGGTTGATGGTGGGTCAGCCAGCAGCAGACCGTCAGCTATCCCGATCACGAGTATTCCACCGCTGAGAATTCTCAGCGCATTACGCCATCCGTAGTGAGTTATGAAGGCTGTCAACAAAGGGCTAAAGGCAAGCATACCTGCATAAATTATCGAACAGAGTAAGAGAGAACATCAATTGCCATGAATTATATTAAACTATCATCATACAGTCGCTTTCTGTAAGGTACGGTGCAAGATAATTTTGAACGAATTAAACATTTTACTTTACCGAATGTGGATCCCATTTGAGCGAGGGCGCTTGCCCGCGAGAAGTTCGCCTTGGAAAACCAGTCAAGCAGGAGGGCCAAGGAGGCATTCGTGGCCAGGTTGGCGCCCACGCCCGTCAAGATCGAAAACGTGAAGAACGCGTATCCCAGCGATGGCACGGGAACGAATGACGTCGTCAACAGTCCTGCGCAGAAGGCAATCACCCCCAAGATGGCGACGGTTCGACTGCTCAGCTTGCGTGTAAGGAGAGAGCATAAAGGACTAGCAATGCAAGCCAGTGCAAGTGACAAAGACCCTAGCCAACCTGAAAGCGAAACAGGCATAACAATGATAAAATAACCCCGAAGTATACTTTTAATCTTTATAGCAATCATTCTGTTAGTAGGCCTAGACACTTTTAAATAATTTTACCACTTCAAGAGGAGAGACTGTTTTTAAATACAATGTAGATGCTACTCGTCCCCTGGTTTAATAGTCTGGAATCGGGAATCTAAACAAATCTAGGCCCCTGCGACTGCCCAATGTTAACATAATGCAAATTAACATAAAGCAAAAACTCTTTCATGAAGTTCCCTGAGTAACGTCATCACTCTGTCTTGCAGACCTTCATTCACCGCTTTAAGCATGCGGTCTTTTTATGACAGACCTAAGCTTCCAAACGGCTTGCCAACGACCACGAACGGTCCGGCTGTAGCCGGCATCAGGCAAACCCAAATCAAGTTATCATCTCGCTGGATCGTATTTCCGTACGAACCTGTCAACGCCGAGCTGGAATGGAAATCCTCCTGCAGGCTCACAAACAGTATGCTGAAGTTGAACAGGGGTCCGAGAGTTAAGAAAAACTGACCGAAAGTCGCGAATGTGACGACCCAACGCCACCATCCGCAACGGGACCCTGATGGGCACACCATGTCGGCTGTACCAGCCTCAGAATACGCATCCGTTACTGTCGCAGCATTTCATTCCGGCCTTCAGTCCTTCCTGTTCAAAAAATCATACAATTGGTCACTTCCTGAAACCGATGAATTCTTGAGAAAACTTAGTGTTGTTCCCAGACCACTTGAGATTCCGCCATATCTGACAAATAATTTGTAGATGTCAATGTCGCATGACCAAACAGACACGGAACAGCGTTGAAACTCAAGTACACGATCGGACGAGAACAGGGCGATTTACTGTGTCGTGCTCTATTTTTGAATGTGACGTCTACACCAACAAATGATCTATAAAAGACGTCATTGGATCGTTCTCATAAGAACAATGAAAAGACTTCAGGCAGTCAATCCGGTGTTTGCTCGTCACGGTTCCACACCATAAAACCAAGCCACTACATGAATTTCTTACCGTTTTGCCAAAAAGGAAATTCACGCTGTTCAAAGTCTTCTTAACATGAGTTTCTAATGTCGCACATCGATGTTGCACAATACAATTCACAACAAATGTCTTTGCAGTGTTATTATGATGCGAAAAGACAGTGTGTGCCCTCTCGGTGTCCGGGTTCTATCGATGGTTTCTGCAAAAAGCCTTTTAAAATAAACAATTGTAGCGTTTGAGCAAAGGTCAAGATAATAATCAGCGCGATAAAGTGTATATTTGTATTAGTCCCGCCAAATAACAATACAAATGGATTGGTGGCTTACCTGGCCGCCGATAAAAAAATGACCGAGCCTATCGGAGTCGGGACATCGTTGTTTGAACTCTGATCGGTGTTAAAAGTCTACCCACGTGGCGGGCTATTGGCCAACAGGAATGGGTAAACTGTCTCAGGTATTTTAATATGAAATAATTAAAGTGAGGAAGGAATATTTCTCAAAAGACGTGAAGCCTATGTTGGGTTTGTGTTGTGGAGAACAAGGCATTAGATATGCATGTAATGGACCAAACAGAAGATGGGATATGAATGTCGCTTGGGATAAAAAAGATTCGCGGGCCAGCCAGGCCTTCTTATCCCCCAACCCATTTCGTTTCCGAAGCCACCTGGGTACATACACATATACTGTAGTGGAGACCAGCTAACTAAAATAATTTCAAGAATTTTATATAATAAACAAAGTTCATTCAGTGTTAATTCTGTTTTGCAAGGAACGATCTAAGGGGGAAACTTTAAGTCTCCTGTGGTTTTTAATTCTATTTCCGAGTCCAACTACTGCATGATCCACAACAAATCCAGCCAACAACAATAAATCCACTCAAAAGATACCAATTCTTATTAGGAGGTCTACGTTTAATAATCAAGGCAGTCACAAAATCCAATGTGACGTAATAAACAGGACCCGTGTATGCTACTCTGCATCGGGAGTCCTGTTTATTACGTCACGATTTACTGTGTTTTGTTTGCTGCCCGCAACGACGACTTTTACACAAATTGCGCGTTCGGGTCGAAACAGGACCTGAACAATAGCTCTCAAAAGTACCTTTTGTACTCATTTCATGACAGACACAATAGTCGTTTTTATTTCATCACACCTTAGGCTACATATACCCAAAAAATGACGGAAATGTTTTCGAGCATTCCACAACCTCTTTAAAAATTACGGATTCTGTTCTATTCATATTATCGTAAACCATTATTATGCTATCCCTTTTTCACCGTGGGAACCCCAGCTATGGCAAAAAGCACTGAGCTACAATCCTGGCCAAATCTCGCTGGACCCCCCCCGTTCAATGTTGTCTCTCATTGTACGGTGTGTGCTCCATCAGCTGGAACCCCAGCTATGGCAAAAGTACTGAGCTACAATCCTGGCCAAATCTCACTGGGCCCACAACCCCCATTCAATGTTGTCTCTCATTGCGCGGTGTGTGCTCCATCAGCTGGAGAGAACAACATTGACCGGGAGACCGGGGGAGTGAGTAACCGTGGCAGGTTCAGGAAGTGTCCCAACCATTTTGGCCGGGATTGTAGCTATCGTTCTGATAATCCGTCACGGGGAAGTTGCTTTGTACATTAGGGTGTACAATGGTTTCTCCATTGAAGGGGGCCTCGGGAGTGTACAGTGATCACGTGCCAGGATTCGTCATTATTTTTGAAATGAAATTCGGGACACAATCTCCATATTCGTATAGAGGGTGGGCGAGTTTACACAACATGCACGGCCTGATTAATTCTCCTCCTTACTGGAATAAAAATCAAGGCCGCTAAAGCGCAAACGAAGAGGGCGGCAATGACAAGAAGACTAAGAACGTAGTCACCTGTGACGTCATAGATTGCACCTAGCAAAAAGAAAAGAGAAGAAAATAAGCACTTATGCTAGACAACGCAACATATAGTATAGCTGCTCACTGAATGCACACAATTCTTTTCAATAATTCAGGCTGTGTGTTCACACTGCATGGAGGAGACTGTTCTTGTATCTGTGTACAATGGGCCAGATTTAGCACATTCACCAGCGTTACAGGGTAATCCTATTCGACAGCACTGCCTGGTGAGTAGGTCAATGAGTGAAAAAAGGTATTACATGTATTACCGAATGGTACTTTTTGTGTCTAATAAACTTTTTCTCTAGTTGAAATAACATGTACACCTATGTGTTGGACCATGAATTACCCGCTAACGGTGCACTGATCAGAACTCCGATTCCAGAGGGAACTAACGTCATAACCATGACACCATTAGTGCCATACTGCTCGTGGAAAAGTTCAGCTGGGGCTGTAAATTGTGTCGCAAAGACGCCTGACCGTAGAACCCCAGAAACTGGAAGCCATAAGAAACAAACAAACATAAGACAAACAAACCGAACAATGTGAATCAAACATTCCACGGACGTTATAAAGTTGTGTGACACAGTGTTTAGGCTATATGCCAGAACGAATAATGGAAATGTTTGACCGTTTCGAGAGTTTTCGTTGGAAGACAATATCAGCCAACATGGAGCTGCCTTTAATTGTCTTGATGTGCATTCTATCGTTTTGCTTCATCAGCGAGCGAGTGGCAATTTTTTTTTGAAACTCTGTAAAGACGGGTGCTTAACAGGTAACCTGATGGGTATATGCTGTACATTCCGAGAAAACAATATTCTAGGATCTCGATTTCAATTCAAAAGTTGCACCCCAAATCCGAGCATCCGGAACACGCTCTCAATAACAGAATGCCTACCATTTCTATATGGTCCCTAAGTATCTCGAAGTAGCAATAATTAAGAGATAAGTTGTTGTCTTGGGCTAAAAACCTGAGAACATGCCTTGACTTACCCACTGCAAGAAGCACCATCACACCAAACGTCTTGGCAATTGTCATCAACCCCAGAACGACGGTTCCCAGGAGACATGAGGCCATCAATAGATAAAGATACAAGAAAGGCAGACGATCTCCAATCACGGCTATGAGGAACTTCCCGCCAAGTTCCGCCAAAGCAAAGTACACGATGACGGAGGCAATTTGGTTGCTATCCAGAGCAAGTCCGTGCATCAAACTAGCCTGCAAGGAAAAAAACCCCAAAGTTTACTTTTATATTCAAACTTTGAGCCGGTCAGATCGAGAACGTTGGCTTACCAAAGTTGGGTAGAGACGACGGGGGGGGGGGGGGGGGGAGCTATTCAACTAAACATGCCCCAAAAGGTTAACAATTTCCCCTACAAAGTCATGTGGATTTGTGGGAAACGTACGTAATTAATATTGAAGAAAGTCCAGCCCGAGTATGAGAAAACCGAAGCCAAGTACCACGCCCAAGCCTCAGGGTTCGTTAAAGCACTAATCAGCCTTCCACGAAAATGTCTCTCAGCTCCAACTTCGAGAGATCCTTGATTTGAAATGTGTGCTTCCTCATTGTTGGTAGTTTCATCGTCAGTCCCTTCAATGCAGCCGTCATCATGAACCTGCTTCCCCGGGACCATGCTCTCCAATTCATGTTTCTCAACACCAGGAGATTCATCGGGCGCTCTAGCGTAGTCGTCGGTTGATGGTGGGTCAGCCAGCAGCAGACCGTCAGCTATCCCGATCACGAGTATTCCACCGCTGAGAATTCTCAGCGCATTACGCCATCCGTAGTGAGTTATTAAGGCTGTCAACAAAGGGCTAAAGGCAAGCATACCTGCATATCAGACAGATTAACAGAGCAATTTGCAATTACAATAACATTAAAATAGTCTACAGTAGACTAGAATATAGTACACTATATAGAATAAATCATACAGTTCCTTTCTGTATAAGGTCCACGCCAGTGCATTATGGAGTCAATCATTAACGTTCACGTCTCTACCGACTTTTAATAACTCTAATCGCTAGAAATTGGATCAAACTGCGTTTAGTTCTATAAAAGACAAGGAAAAACTGTGTGTCTACATAGTTGTGGGAAACTATCATCGCATTTACCGGCTGTGGATCCCATTAGAGCGAGGGCGCTTGCCCGCGAGAAGTTCGCCTTGGCAAACCAGTCCAGCAGCAGGGCCAAGGAGGAATTCGTAGCTAGGTTGGAGCCCACGCCTGTCAAGATCGAAAACGTGAAGAACATGTATCCCAGCGTTGGCACGGGAACGAATGACGTCGTCAACAGTCCTGCGCAGAAGGCAATCACTCCCAAGATGGCGACGGTACGACTGCTCAGCTTGTTTGTAAGGAGAGAGCAGAGAGGACTAGCAAGACAAGTCAGTGCAATTGACAGAGACCCTAGCCAACCTGAAAGCGAAACAGGCATTATATAAAATAATCCTAAAGCATACTTGTTGTACCTTCACAATAATTCTTTTAGCAGACACTCTTTAATATTTTTACCACTAAAAGAGGAGACACTGTTTTTAAATACAATGTAGATGCTACTCGTCCCCTGGTTAGTCTGGAATCGGAAATCTAAAGAAGTCAGGCCCCTGCGACTAACCAATGTTAACATAATGCCAAAAAAATCCCTGAATATAAACGTCACCACCCTTGCAAAGCTTGATTCATCGCTTTACGCACGCAGACTTTTTTTTTGGCAGCGCTTTAGTTTCCAAACGCTGCTTGGCAACGACTGCGAATGCCCCGGCTGTAGCCAGCATCAGACATACCCAAATCAAGTTCTCATCTCGCTGGATCGTATTTCCGTACTAACCTGTCAACGCCGAGCTGGAATGGAAATCCTCCTGCAGGCTCACAAACAGTATGCTGAAGCTGTACTGGAGTCCACGAGTTAAGACAAACAGACCGAAAGTCGCGAATGTGACGACCCAACGCCACCATCCGCAACGGGACCCTGATGGGCACACCATGTCGTCTGTACCAGCCTCAGAATACACATCCGTTACTGTCGCAGCATTTCATTTCGGTCTTCAGTCCTTAGTCCTGTTCAAAAATTTATAAAATGTGTCACTTCCTGAAACCGATACATTCCTGGGAAAACTAGTGTTGTTCCCAGACCAAAAGATTCCGACGTATCTGACGAATATTAAACTTAGGTACAGTAGATGTCAAGGCTGCATGACGAAACAGACATGTAACAGCGTTGAAACTCAAGTATATATATAGGCATAATTATTGACATACGATCGGACGAAGGCCGGACTGCGTCGTGTTCAATTTTTGAATGTGACGTCTATACCAACCAACCAACCATCTATTAAGAGACGTCATTTGATTAATAATCAGGGAACTAGACTACGAGAAACTTCGCCAGCGTACTACTGCATGTACACATTAAAGCAATAAAAGGACTTCAGGCAGTGAATCCGAGGTTTGCTTGTTCCACACCATCCAACCAAGCCACTACATGAATTTCCTACCGTTTTGCCAAAAAGGAGATCCGGCATTTCAAAGTGCTTCTTACCATGAGTTTCTGATGTCGCTAACTGATGTTGCACAAAATAATTATGCATGACTAATTCTTTGCACAGTTGTTAACATGATGCGAATAGACTGCTGTGTGTGCACTCTCGGTGTCCGGGTTCTGCATAAAAACCTTTAAAGTAAACAATGAACCTAACGTTTGAGCAAAGGTCAAAATAATACGATAAAGTCTGACCCAAAAAAGAGAGAAAATTCAAAGGTTATTCCACAATTGCTGGCATAATCAACAAAATCAAATGCAATTTTTGTCTTTCTTTCTAATAGCAGTTCGTAAAAACACAGACTTGAATTAGTCCCACCGTATCACTCTTAGCGAACGATTATCGAAAAAAATAGCACAGTGCTTTTGCCATTGAAGAGGGTCCCACGGTGATACAAATGATAGCATGATAATTGTTTACGAAACTATGGCTACAACACACTGAAATAAGTTGTGTTTGAATACGTCATTTATAAGCGAACATGCCATGGGCCCCATCAAAGTGTAGACACGGCCCATGCATCAACATTATACCGCTGCTTTTCTCAATGTGCAATTAATCGAAAGTACAATTCCATCTTTCCGCATATTAATTCAGTAATTAAGAATCCACGATGTCCACATGGTCTATAGATTCGGCAAAAAAAAAAGAAATGAGTGTTTGGTTTTTATGCACCATATAGTCGCGGTTTTTTTTCAGGCTGGAGCGCTGTGGTCCAATGTTTACGCTGTTCGACTCACGTGCCGTGGTACGCGGGTTCGAACCCTGGCGGCGAACATGATGCTTGTGTTCTTGGGCAAGACACTTTACTACAATTGCCGCTCTCCATCCAGGAGTATATATGGGTACATGTAAAGGTAGAGACCAGAATACGCTCATCTGCAGAAACTGGTCTCGTGGCCTGCCGAACAGGGGTAATAATGGTGAAGCGCTTTGAGGCCTAACGTATAAAGCGCTATATAAGCGCCACATTATTATTATTATTTTAGCGATCTTTTTTAGGATTTCCGATTTAGATTTTTGAGTGTCTTGATTATTAAACGCAGGCCTCCTAATAAGAATTGGTATCTTTTTGAGTGGATTTATTGTTGTTGACCTGTGTTGTGGATCATGCAGTTGTTGGACTCGATCGGCAATAGAATTCAAAAACCCACATGAGACTTTTAAAGTTTCCCTCCTGGAAATTTGACTTGCTCTTTGTGTGGGGGCCGCTGGAGTGTGATGTGAGAATAAATAAATAAACACACCAACACCCGGGTTCGAGTCACTCCTTTAACTCACCTGCTGTTTAAAACGGGTCACAAATGGTCAAAATTTTCTTCCACTTCCCCTGGCCAACTTTTAACAAACCAATGAGTCACTTGACCAATATTGACCTAAGTAACAGCATGGCTCAGAATGCATGTTTCCATAGCATATAGGACGGTTTTATTCTGTTAAAAGCGAGCGGTGCGCAGGCCAGCCGCAAGGGAGACAGCACGTTGGGGAAACAATTAAACAATTAAAAACAAGGACAGAAAACTTTGACCAGTAATTATGATGAAAACACCGTGATTCAAAGCGACATGTCAAATAAACTTTCTCAATGTGAACGCAAGAGGGCCTCCATCAAATTTCATGAGCAACGGAGAGCTGAGCTGAAAATCCTAAATTACGCCAAGTTTCATAACAAAACTTGATCTCTCTACTTCATTATATTGTGACAGAGTCCCTAATATGTTGAAATATTGCTGGTTCATGAATGAGGATTCGATGATCATCAAGGAAAATGTTTACATGATAAAAGCAAGCGGTGCGCAGCCTGGGCCAGCGGCAAGGGAGAATGCACATTGGGGAATGGTGTAATCACCGCTTGCTGGCGCTGTCAAGGGGGGGGGGGATAAGAAGGGCCTGGACTTTTTACTATACCTTATATTCATAAATACCTCAGACAGTTTAGCTATTCCTATTGGTCGAGAGCCCGTCACGTGGCCGGTCTTAAACGGATGATAAAGACATGGCTAGCTGGTCTTAAACACTTTTCCAGTGTCACAATAAAATGTGGACTCCTAAAAATCCAGTGCCTCTTACCGTTTCATTGGTTGAACGTTCACAATCCTCACGTAGGCATGCGCAACACTACAAGCGAGTCAGAATTTCATAGTTCTAAATTCAAAACGCAACGCCCCAGGTGCGTTCTGCGTGACATCGCGCAGAACATGTTACGCGCGCGTCAATCTCCATAAAAGGGTTGTTTACATCTTACTCGCCAGCTGAACACTCCATTATTTTGCCAGAGGGATGTTTCAAAAAGCATGAAGTGAACTTGTTGAACAAAATCGGGATTTTTTGAACGAATTATTTGATATTTTTTTACGGAATAAGGTATTTATGAATGGGAATAAATATGTGCTCGGTCGGTATTTATCACTCTGTTTAATACCGCTTAGAGTCTGGGTGCTGATAATTACCCTCGCCTCCGGCTCGGGTAATTATCAGCACCCAGACTCTAAGCGGTATTAAACGAGTGATAAAAACCTCCGGAGCACACATTTATTCCCTTAGTCATGATCAAAATTTGATCACTCCATTTGCCGATTCCACCGCGCGTTCGGGAAGTAAACATGACACGCGCCCATGTCAAGGGCGGATCCAGAACGCAATTTTTTTTAGGGTCCAAAAAATTACGGCGTGGGGTTCGGGGCCCGCTTAAGGGCCCCGAAATATTTTTGGATTCTAGATGCTCTGTGGTGCGATCTGAGGCAATTTCTGACCACTTTAACCAATGTTTTTTTGAGGAAAAGATGGTGGTGTACTCATTGCCTGCCTTTATGCGATGTCACATAAAAAAAAAAAATTGGTTTCGTTTTTTTTTGGGGGGGGGCCCATGGCCCCTTTGGCCCCCCCGGATCCGCCCTTGCCTGGGTACATACACGTATACTGTAGTGGAGACCAGCTAACTAAAATAATTTCAAGAATTTTATATAACAAACAGATAGTTCATTCTGTGTTCATTCTTTTTTGCAAGGAGCGATCTAAGAGGGAAACTTTAAGTCTCCTGTGGTTTTTAATTCTATTTCCGAGTCCAACTACTGCATGATCCACAACAGATCCAGCCAACAACAATAAATCCACTCAAAAGATACCAATTCTCATTAGGAGGTCCACGTTTAATAATCAAGGCAGTCAAGAAATCCATATCGGAAATCATAAAAAAAGATCGCTAAAATGATAACAGTAATGTGGTGCTTATATATAGCGCTTTATACCAAAGGTCTCAAAGCGCTTCAACAATATTACCTCTGTTCGTCAGGCCACGAGACCAGTTTTTGCAGCAGCTGGAGCTGAGCGTATTCTGTTCTCTACCTTCACTGGTACCCATAATATACTCCTGGGAGGAGAAAGGCAATAGTAGTAAAGTGTCTTGCCCCAAAACACAAGCATCATGTGTAGGGACCCGATCTGCTCCTCCCCACACAAAATTGTTGCACCCCTATTTTTATTTTTGGAATAGTCCTACTAGCTAGTACTTGTACCTGCATAACATGTGGCCTACTTGTGGTCATTCTTGAATAAGACCACACTGAGAGAACATCATATTCATCTCTCCCTGTTGCAGGTATGTTGAAGATTATTCTATTTAATTTTGATACATTTTAGTTGACAATACTTTGCACTTGTATATATTTTCTCTCTTTTTAATGCATTTTAGTTGAACTAGATAACAGAATTAGCCATTGGAGAAGGTTTTGATCTAGGAAGATACTGTGTTCTTGAGATGGTGTTTAACTGAATAAGGATCATGGCTAAGTACAAGTTGAGAACAGAAGTAACAGTGATTTATCAGTTCTTTTCTAATTCAAGTTTATACTTTTGTAACATTACTTTGTAGATTTCTTTATTAATCATCTCTTTAACTTTTATCTAGTTAGCATATAAGTTACTTTTAAATCTAGTATTAGAAGTACAGTATTTCCTGTACTGAGTGCACCTTTAAGTATTAATAGTTAAGATGAAATGGAAGTTATGGTTTGTCCCCAGTACTGAATTTAGACCACTTGATAGATAGAACGAGATGGAGTTAGAATAGAATAAGTATTGTAATTTTCACACTTTTCTGTGCAGTCTTTTGACCAAGGACATTTGTGTACAGAGGAACGGTTTGTGTAGTGAAACAATGTTGCTAGTGATTATGCCTCAGGCACTTACACTGTTGAGCATGGGCATGGTAGAAAGTGTTGGTGCATAAATAATTAGTTGGCCAGAAACCCCCCCTGGGGTGGGACCACTACTGTATATAGAGGACTGCGGTCCAGCACCAGATGTTAAATCCATTATCTAAGACAGTAGTTCTTTGTTTAGATAAGGAGACCAGAGCTCAGTGCTGCCAAAGCTCTAGGCAATGTATCCATGGTAACAAGACTTTTGGCCAGAAGAATTCTGCACGTTGTTACTCAATTGCTAAATAGGCTAGTCTTGTGTATGGCCACACCAGTTATTTTAGTTGTTTTCATTAGCTATGTACGTCTGTTATATCATGTTATATGTTAAACTATTATTGAATAATGTTATTTCTATTGTGTATCATTGTAAAATGATTGATTCTTGAATAAGACCACACTGAGAGAACATCATATTCATCTCTCCCTGTTGCAGGTGTAACACATGTTCCCCGTCAGGGTTCGAATCCGCGTACCACGGCACCTGAGTCGAACACCGTTAACATTGGACTACAGCGCTCCACCCTTAAAATACATCCTGAATATGCATGAATATAAAAACCAGACGCTCATTTCTCTGCCGAATCTATAGCAGGCGCGGTTCTAGGCGTGCTGAAATGTAGATAGGTTTCTTTTCCCCGGACACTTAGGCCTCTGAAAATCAATACGTGGGGGGGGGGGGGGGGGGGAGGGGGGTGGGGGTAGGGGGTCGTGTCGTGCCATATTTTCAATGGGGAGAGCTGAAACAATCCTACAATCAGGCACACTATATTAACTAAAAGTGTACAAATGCACCCTTAGGGGGAGACCGCTCCAATGTACGTCAAATTCTTGCATTTTGCTATATTGCATTTTTTTTAATGGAATTTTTTTGAAAGGGGGGCTAGACAAAAATGGGGGGGGGGG